TATTAAAATTAAAAAATTAGATACAATTTGAATTTAGATTAAATTTTTGATGAGTATAGATGTTATGCACCATATATGCATTGTTTTTAATACCTTTAAAAATGGCGAGATCTTTAATGCACATTCTATATATCTTTTACTAATGAACATAAAATTTTGGCATAAAATACCTTGCATATTTCTCCTATCTCTTCCTAACATGAAGAAAATGAAAATGTGAGAAATAGTGATATTTAAAAGGGTAGTATGGAAAATTTATGTTTAAGTCATTGAAAAATTCATATTATATTAATACATTTTTATTAATATTTTTTCACTATATCGAATTTAGTAGTCAAGGTTGAAGCTTTTTATTATAAGAATCATTTGATACACTTTGTGAGGCGTCTGTAGTTTATTTAACAATAGAGGATAATATTCTACCTCCATATGATAAAGTACAGAAAATAGTTGACTGGACAGTCAATTTATCATTAATAAAGCTAACAGATCTTGATTGAAGAACTAAAGTATTAGAAATATTACCACAGGTATGGTATAAATGAGATTTTTATTTTTGTTTCTTACTTTAATGATGATACTATAGTAGATGTTAGCTTTAGTTTTGGTATATTATAGCTTAAAGTCAGAGAGTACCAGCTCAGAAGATCAATGTCTCCTCTCTATTATGTGTGACTATCTAGCTAAAATAATGACGATATGTCTTTTTAAAAATTCCTGAAAACACACATGTAGCAGGAATTATAATTCATGAATTTGGGATGAGAATAATGTACTAGTACTTTTTTATCACATCTAATGTAAATGAAGAGTAGATATATCAGTATTCGTAGGCTAAAAGCATTAAAAGCATTGAATATGAATAGAGAATTACCTTTCAACTATACTCAGGAAGAAATAGAAGAAAATCTTAATATGTTAAAATCTAAACTCAAGGTAACTATTATGCCGTTTAGAGGTTTTTTATGTTTAAAACTAACAAGCTTTTGTGCTTAGCATCCTACAACAGAAGCAGACATAAACCTTTATAGTTCACTTAAACAAAATTTAGTGGGTATAGTATCTTCAGATTTCACATGACGAGATCCTGAAGCAAGCATGATTTTAAGTGATAATTTAAATATCGTAAAAAACTTGAGAAATAGGTAAAAAAATATTTTCATAAAACTTCGAGAAAATATGAAATGTATCCTACCTTATTCAGTTGTCACTAAATATGTTAATTTTGTGGAAATTTTCAATAATACGAAGAATGCAAGGTCTATGAAGAACATACTTCACAATAAAAAATGGAAAAAAAGTAAGACAGATTTAGTAAAAATAACGAAATGTATTCTAAGCATAATATAAGTTGCTTGCTTATTTGAAAATTGATGAAATATCACTGTATTAATTACGCTTTCTTTTATCAGTAGTAAAATATGAAGCAATCCTGCATTTATGACCAGTACATCTTACAATGAGCAGAGTGAAGAGAAATACATTGCAGATGTCATAATTCCTTTACTTTGAATAAGTTTGAGCAATCTTTTAAATGGTGCTATCTGTCTAAATACAGCAGAATGTCAAAGTATAGCAAGCAAAACTTGAAGAAATCTAAGAATAATTGGAAAGCAGATAGGAAAAAAATCTGATATTATAGGTTTATTGAAGCAAGACAAAAAAATTATTGAGCTATTGTATACTGAGTCATCACATATCGTATGTAATAACTCAAAAAAATCAGATGATAAGATTAAGTTATGAAGAGAAACATTGGATGGGACAAGTTATATCAATGCATTATGTAGACCAGTTGATAATCAATTTGGTATTATAGGAATTCAGATCGTAAGCATAACTATGTATCTGAATATTCTTATGAATGATCTAGCTGGTATACCAAGATATTTCCATCTAGATTATGCAGAAATTCTATTATCCCTTCACCAGTCGTGTCTGAAATCTCTTATTCGCTTACTACTAACCTTAAGAAATGTAATGATCATGAATAAGAGTCTTCTAATGTAAGCATTAGGACAAGTTACCTCTCATCTGTCTTGAAATATTAACCAAGTCCCACTATCTTTACGCTTCCATATAACAAATAGTTAGTATAGAGATTGTTTGTGTATTTTAATATAGAAATATTGTATATTTTAACTATATCAATAAAGTACCCCTAGTGGCCGATTATTTTTACATATTTATCTGTATTTTTTTCTTGATAAAATTTGGATGACTCAAGATCACTGAAATCATGTGATTTTTTATTTTTGAATATTAACATACTAATACTACATTATGCAAGTATGCAATCTGAAATAGATGGTCCTAGTGAAACTGATTCGTTGAAACAATGTATTAGCAAACTTAAAACCAGAATTGTGAAATTAGAAGATAAGCAATTGCAAAATGAATTAGTAAAAAATTTATTATCTATATTGCATAAAATGTGATCCTGTATTAATGCTGGCCAGTAAAAGTGATCAATATTAGAAATTATAATACACATGTGATTTGATTGAAGTTATATTATTAACAGATCTCTCACAATATTAACGTGTAAATTTATTTACACTAATTTCCTGAATGCAGAGAATGCCTAGAATTCTTAAATTCTTAGAATTTTTTATTATCTATATAAAATAACTAATAATATACTGACATCATCTTTTCACATATATTACTCGAAATAACTTAACCAACTTCTCTGATTCATCAAAATAGATATATAGTGATACTTTACATCTCAAAAATATCTATTATTGCTAGAACAGGCAAGTAGTATTCACCCTGAAGTAGAAAATTTGTTAAATAAGACAGTTGAAAATTATATTAAGAAAAAGGAGCATCAGAAGATGAAGCCTATTACTAGCAACTGTAAAATGTCACTAAGGCAAGAAAATGAGAAGTTGTGTATATCAAAGTGGTATTAGAAAAAAAGATTGAAGAGCTTCTCGATTTGTAAGAACAGTATAAATCTCATGAGGTAGCTATGACCAGGTCTTTGAAAGAGAGTAGTGAGAAAATCACCCAATTATCAAATTTAGTAGTTTTTTTCAAAAGTATATTCCTGATACGAGAAAGCTATTGCATCAACTGAAAAGTCTATTGACCTGTTAGAGAATAAATACTGATATCTAAAGAATATTATTTCTGCTAAGAATAAGAAAATTATCGCTCTTGTTGATCAGATCCTTTCCAAAATGAAGCATAATGATGTGACTATAAAACTAGAAATATATTCTAGCACTTATGAAAATAAATTATGGCGAAGAGATATAGTAAATCTGAATATAACCTAAAACCTGAAAAAAATATATATTTCGTCTTACTCAATAGCTTTGAGAAAAAATTCTATTCACTAAGAAATGACGTATCTCATCCTTTTCGTATTCAGTGAGAATAGTTTAGGAATACTGTCAAATCAAAGACAATAAAGTTCTGATCACACAAATAATTATTGATATCTTTATAAATATTGTATCAGTCATTAGCATATAAGTGAAGAATATGGGTTAGTTCATCAAAAGTAGAACCATTAAAGAGTACGATGTAATTAATTCTTTCCTTATAGTTAAAAAAGCTTTGCATTATATAGATTGAGCTTATATTTTTGTGACGTCCTTCAGTAAAATAAAGAACAATCTTCTTTTAGACTTTTTTTGAATCAGCATATAGATCTTTGAATATAACAACTATTTCTCTTTTTGAAGAGAACAAATCTAGCTTTGGAATTTTATCAGATTTCATAGCCCAAAATATGATATCTTCACGGAAAGGTTTTGGGCTATTTGCAATTATCTGATATCCTAATTTGAAATATAAATATTTTGGTTTCTTGAGATAGTGGCTGATAAGTAATAAATCATTATTTTTAATTAATTTGGTTTAAAGCTCTGAACAGTTCAGATTAATCTGAAGATTTTTCAGATTAGTTCAGTTCAGTTTAGTTTTAAATTGCATAAAAATCGATCTGAAAATTTTCAGTTCAGTTCAGATTTTTTTTGGAAATATTCTACATGAAATTAGCTTTCCATTTAATAAGCGTAATATCTATACTTAGTATGTAAGACATAATAATTAATTAGAGAAGAAGGACTTATATTCTATTATATTAGAGGATTTATTTAATAAGAGAGTAAAGCTTAAAAAATAACTTGGCCTCATTAGGAAAGAAAAAAAACAACTTAAAAAGGTGACAAGTTTAGCTAAAGATAGAAGTAAAAGGATTTCAAAAAGCCTAAATTCAGAATATTCATTCATATGCTTTGATTATAATTATCTAAATTTGAAGCAAAAAGCTTTGAAGGTATATATAAACACTTTTACGAAAAAGCAAAAAACTCAAAATCTCCAATCTTTCTTCACAAATTGGTTAGAGAAGTTACTTCAGCAGGAAAATTCAGCCTTAATCTTATTACAAAATTCGTGACTAAAAAGGGTTTAAGATAAAATATGGAAATACTGATTTTTTGTATCTCACTTGCCTAGATAAGTATTATAAAAAATGTGATAAAGCCTTCTTTAAAAAAGAGCTTTCTAAAGAAGCATACTAAATCAAAATAGGTAAAATTACTATGAATATGATAAAAAAGTTACATTATTAAGTAAACATTTATCTTAGAATAAAAAGTGAAACGTCTTATTTAAATATGACATATAAAGAAATATTATTTTTCATTTACTTTTCTGGTAAAAAGAAGTACTTTAAAATTAGATATAAAGAAGTAGTAAACTTTAAACCAAAAAACTTTTTCATGAAAAAGATAGATATTATAAAGCAAGGTAAATTCCAGCTTCTTAAATTTATTAAGAAAAAGATTATAAGGGAGGTTATAAATATAAATAATATACGTTTAATTCATAAAATTGTTAAAGATACTTTAGAAAAGTGTAGAATAAGGAATGGGATTTTAATAAATTTATTGTAATGGGAACATAAAAGCCTAAGAAAAAAATCTCTGCAATAATTGTTTTATAAAACGTATGAAAGATAGGAATGAGAGGATTTCAGATCTTAGTGAATGATTTAGTTACACTCCCCGGTCAAAAGTATTGGACTACGTGATTTTCGTTATACTAATTGGCATAATTTTTGCCGATTATAACTTGTGATCTAATGTATAAAATTGAGTCAATTTTTTTTTCCTGCATAGCTACGAACTTCTTGTATTCAAATATAATTTTTTTTAAAATGCCC